TGATAAGCCAACAAGTGTTTGAGAACCTACTTCAGGACATGACCAAGAGGAAGAGCTAAATAGGTTCTAAATTCAAGAGACTTCCTTCTTAAAGATTAAATACAATGAACAATTAAATATTCTTCTCAAATCAGTTTTTATAAAGTGTTCTAAAAGCCTGGAAATAAAAGATGAGTTCCTCTGATATCAAGGTAGCCCCCCAAAAATACCCATAAGGAAACAAATTAAGAATGTGAAGTCACAGCTTTCAAAAAAAAAAAAAAATGAAGTAAACAGAAGAATGAGATTTACTGCATTTCATTTGCTTATTCCTTTTTACCCAGAGAGTTGTTTTAAGAATTAAATGAAATAATGAGCGTAAAGTGAATAGCATGGTGCTGGGCACATGGTAAATGTATAATAAATATTGTTATTAATCTGGTTCAAACTTAAGGTGAAATTGATAAAGTGTCCAAGTTAACCAACTTAAAACTTTTCAAGTATTAAAGGATATCTATTTTTAAAGATAAAATCATGACTTTCATACAAATATAAGATGAATACACATCAAAGATTTTACTTAACTACCTAATTTTTTAAAAAAGATTTATTTGTTTGAGAGAGAGTACAAGCAGAGGGAGGGGCCGAGGGAGAGGAGGAGAGAGAGAGGGAAAGAAGCAGATTCCCTGCTGTGCGTGGAGCCTGACATGGGGCTCAATCCTACAACCCCAAGATCACAGCCTGAGCCGAAATCAAGAGTCCGACGCTGAACTGACTGCGCAACTCAGGGGCCACTTAACTACCGAATTAATGAAGGAAGCAGGAAGATGTTACAACTGGCTCAAGGAGAATTCAGACAGCAGACCTAGATCTAGATCTGCAACACATGTATCTATCTATGCCATGGAATGAATTTACAAGTAAATGCAAAACTGGCTTTTACCAGATCTGTTGATTCCCCCTAAAATCAAATTCATTTGCATATCTATAGACAAAATCATTTACATGAATATCAGTTATCTACAATGTACAGAGTTTTAAAATAGCTCTAAGACAATGAAAGGTATAAATCCCACAGAATCTGATAGTCCAGAAGGATGTGATCTAGGCATGGTTTTCTAGGGAAGATGTCCATAATCTTTTTCGTCTGTATCAAAGGCTTTTAAAATTTTTTCTTTATACATGGATCTTAAACAGAAGAGTTTTGCTGAATTAAACTCATTCTCCTCTAGTTAACATAACCTGATTATAACATAATACATTTCAATTATGAAGCGCTTAGATAATAAAGTATAAAGAGGAAAATGAAAATCCCCATATTCCTATCACTAAGAGATAACAACTATTAATACTTGAAGAGTATTCATCCAGTTGTTTCTATATATATGTGTCAGCATGTATGTATATATATTAACTGTTTTCAAATCAGTTTTAACAAACTTTGTTCTGGGAAGTTATATATATATATGTATATATAGATATGTATATATAACATTCAATTGTATATATCAATTTATAACCTACTTTCCCCCTCTATATAGTGAACATTTTTCCTTATCTACATCATTTTTATAGTTATAAAATATTCCGTTATATGGAAAAACCATAATTCATTTAATTAATCCACCACTATTAGAAATTTAGCTTGTAACCAAGTTTTAGTTATTATAAATAAAATAATGCGCTTCTCTTCTGACAACCTTTCTCTTGGCAATGGTACCAGCTTTCTTGAAAAAGCCAAACATGTCACATGGTATCAGTTTCCAGAGGATGTTGGGATCCCTAGAATATCCGATCTTCCTCTGCTTTAATTGGCCTATTGCATCCGTGGAAGACCGGGAATTAGAATTGCCAGCTACCTGAAACCACCCTTTGTTCTTGCCATTTTCCTGACACACATCATAAAGATTTAGGCACATCTGAAGTTTAAAATAAAAACTAAGATCATCATGAGTTTTGACACTCAAGACCATTTAATTGAAAATGATATTGTCAATCCAGATCTTTTTTATTCTATTATTTTTTAAAGATTTTACTTATTTATTTGAGAGAGAGAGTGAGAGAGAAAGAGAACACAAGCGGGGAGGGGCAGAGGCAGAGCAAGAAGCAGACTCCATGCTGAGCAGGGAGCCCAACGTGGCGCTCCATCCCAGGACTCCAAGATCATGACTGGAGCCGAAGGCAGACGCTTAACTGACTGAGCCACCCAGGTGCCCCAATCCAGATACTTAAAAAAAATTTTTTTTTATTAAGTAATCTCTATGCCCAATGTGTGGCTCAAAGTCATAACCCTGACATCAAAAGTAGCATGCTCTACCAACTGAGTCAGCCAGGCACCCCAACCCAACATGTTCATAGGGAAAAATGCATTTAAGGCTTAGTTTCTTAGAATGAAGGGCCTGAGGAAACAGAGAAAAATAGCTTTCAGCTAGGTAACAAATAGCCAGAACTTTTCTTGATTTTTCAGACCTTGATTTTTTTTTATATAAGATTGCAGTTAATTAGAACTGATAGGGGCGCCTGGGTGGCGCAGTCGGTTAAGTGGCCAACTCCTGATTTCAGCTCAGGTCATGATCTCAGGGTTGTGAGATCGAGCTCCTTGACAGGCTCCATGCTGGGAATGGAGCCTTCTTAAGATTCTCTCTCTCCCTCTCCCTTGGCCCCTGCCCTCCCTCTCCCTCTCTAAGGAAAAAAAAAAAAAGAAGAAGAGCTGATACATCAACAGGAGCATGACATGCAACAGTTGGCTCTCCTCATTAAGATCTACTTTTGCTGTCCTCATTCTAAGGAATATTTGAGAAAGGAATCACTAGGATCTAAGGGAAGGACTTCAAAGCCCTACAAGCTACCATTTAGAAGAGGTGGTCGTTGGACTGGGCACATGGTAGGTGCTCAATATTTGCTGAATGGCAGAGGTGATAAGAAATTGACAACTAGCTGTGCAGTTTTCAGGGGGAAGGGAATCACTTAAGCTACTGCCTTTATTTTTTTATTTCTAAAAATGAGGAGAAATGACTGATCCCTCATGAAAAGAAAGGCTTCAGGGGTGCCTCGGTGTCTCAGTTGGTTGAGCGTCTGCCTTCAGCTCAGGTCATGATCCCGGGGTCCTGGGATCAAGTCCTGCATTGGGCTCCTTGCTTAGCAGGGAGCCTGCTTCTCCCTCTGCCTGCCGCTCCCCCTGCTTGTGCTCTCTTTCTCACTATCACTCTCTCTGTCAAATAAAAAAAAAAAAAAAAGAAATCTTAAAAAAAAAAAAAGAAGGCTTCAAATGGAGCAACAGAGTTTGGTTTAAGCTAAGAAAAATACTATTAAAATAATAATCAGATATTTTAGCAAGCTACAGAGAAGACTCGTGGAAACTGTATCCCTAGAGACCCTGAAAATAAGACAAAGAGAGTCTAGGAATCCTATAGGTATAACAGAACTTCCCAAAAACAGAAGGTAGACCAGATTAACTTTTTAGGTCTTCTCCCGCTCTAGAAGGAAATCAAGTGGATTTTATGCTTTTATAAAATGAATTGGTGGTTTCCCTAAAATAAAGCGTATGTAACTGTAGCTTAGAGCTTGCTACCCACTACTAGAATGAAAGTTTCACAGACTATAAAATCAGGCAATAGCAATCAAACTACATTAGTGTGCCTAATGTGTGCAAAACCTGGCCCAGGTTGGCACACTGATTTGGCCACTGTCAGAGACCGAATACCCAATGGGATGGGTCACGACTGAGATAATGTGATAATTCTCTTGGTCTTACATTTCTTCTTGTCACTTCTGGCAAAATCCAAGCCACCGAAACCACCATATTGTATTGATTCCTTCTGATGGTGACCTAGAATCTCACTGCTTCTTGGGTATGATCATTCTGCATTTGATACTATTTGGTGTTGGGTCAATTCCATTCAACTTTTTAATATCCAGAATTTGTCAGGCACTCTACTAATCACAAGAAATGCCAAAAGCACTTCTCAATATGCTGCAAACTGCCCTCTGCATTCTGTGAATAAACAGGTCTGCCCTCAATTCTCCTATTTCCTCCTGGGAAATAACTTTCAAATGTGTAAAAGCTATGGTCACAGTTCCCTTCACGTGGACGTCTGACCATGGCTGATGAAACACCAAAGCCGCACTGAGGTCTCTGATGGCAAGTCCTTGCTGACATTTTCAACAGACCCACCATGGGAACATCAACCCCACTAAATATGAGGAGCTTTACTGCCAGTTCAGATTTTTAGAAGGAAAAAAATCTGTATAACCATGTCCTATAGTATGCCTCTCCTTTGGGGAAAAAGTACTTATTGCTGTAATATGCCTGTCCCTTCAAAAACAAATCATTATTCAGTTGCACATTTTTAAAGTGTTGTGAGGGGTGCCTGGGTGGCTCAGTCAGTTAAGTGTCTGCCTTGGGTTCAGGTCCTGATCCCAGGGTCCTGGGAGCAAGCCCCGCATCAGGCTCCCTGCTCAGCAGGGAGTCTGCTTCTCCCTCTGCCTCCCCCTGCTTGAGCTTGTGCTCTTTCTCTCTCTCTTAAATAAAAAAAAAATCTTAAAAAAAAATAAAGTGTTGTGAAAAACAAAAATGTAAAGGGGGAGGAGGTGTTCCTTTGCTGTTTTATATTTAACTATACTCAGAGAAAAACTGTCTTAATAACATCTTACATCTTTCTTGTGCTATATTCAATAACTTTAGAGACAAGACAAACCTGCAATTTTTGAAACATAGGGGATTAGAAGAAATATAATCTAGCACAGGACAGAAACAAACACTAGGAACATAGATATGCTGACCCTGTGATTCTTTTAACAACCAAGCTAGAAGATGGAAATCCTGTGTTCTTTTAAATCACTACCATTGACTGTTGCTACAAACACAGCAAATAAACCTCCACTTCCAATTTTAGGCCAGTTAGTATGATAGCATTTCTTCCAAGGCCAAGTCTAAGTGAATTCCAAAAAGGTGAAATAGTGATCACGAGCAGAGGCATTTCTCAGAAGCAGGAAGTGCATGTTGAAAACTGGCCTCTTACCTTCGAAGAACTGCTGCAGGGCCTCATTTTCCCCTAACATATCCATGGTGCTGGGGTCCTAGTAATACTTCCTCCCAGAACACGGTTTCTCAGAGCTCAGGAAGTAAGTGCTGTCCTCTCGACTTGAAGCCTATGAATGCTCTTGAAAAATCTTCATTTTCTTTTTATTGGAGCGAAGCCTATCTTCTGCCAACAAATTGTGTCCAGAAAGATGGTTAGGTTCTCAAAATGTTTATAAAACCAGAATATGTGACCATGCAGGAAAAAAAAAAATTCATGAAGAGGGAAGTGGTAACAAATCCATCTATCTTACTGTAGGGAACTGTTTCTACTCTGCCTTTCGTCTTTGTTTTAAGGACCTTTGTCCTTAGTGACACATGTAATTACATAAATGGGCAATAAATAGTCTTATCTCTTATTTGTCCTTTTACAACAATATATTTATATCTCCCCCTCTATCAACCAGATCAATTTAGCCATAACCAGGCAAATATAGAGTTTGTGTGTGTGTTTTACCTAGAGAAATCAATATATTCGCTTTTATAGAGATCTTGAATAGTAGATCATTTAAACAGGCTTGTGCTAATGAAAAGTTAGGATTGGTGAAGTATTTCCAAATTTAATCACAGTGAAAACTTAAATTCCTTTGATACACATCTAGTCTATCTCCTCCAGATTTTATTTTCTTTGAAAGTATAAAGTATGAGAAGCCTCTCTAATGAGCAACAAAACTGCATTTGATTCAGTAACTCTTACAACTGAGTATATACAGTTCACTTTTAGCTGGTTTCACTCCTAAATATAAAAGTTTTGCTTTCCTGCTCAACTATTAATTTACTTAATAATAGCCTAAGAATACAATTAGGAAATTAAATTGTCTCTTTTAGTCCCTTCCTTTTCACTTTTCCCCCAACATTTTATCTTGATAAAGTTTTTAACCTATAGAAAAGCTGCAAGGATAGTACCATGAAATAAATACCCACTTACTCTTCATCCAGATTTACTAATTACCAATATTTTCCCACTTTTGCTTTTTCTCTTTTGCTATATACATTTTCGGCTGAGCCATTTGAAAATAAGTTGCTGACACCTTGACATTTTACCCAGAAATAATTCTGTGTCTCCTCTAACAAATTAGGACATTCTCCCACATAATCACAGTATTACTATACCCAAGAAATGTAATATAAATCTAATACTAATATCTCATTAGTGTTAATCCCACTGTCCCCAAAATATCTTTTATGACTTTTTGTTTTCTTTTTTTTTTTAAAGATTATATTTATTTATTCATGAGAGACAGAGAGAGAGAGGCAGAGGGAGAAGCAGGCTCCCAAGAAGTAGGGAGCCCAATGCGGGACTCGATCCCAGGACCCTGGGATCATGACCTGAGCCGAAGGCAGACGCTTAACCATCTGAGCCACCCAGGCGCCCATGACTTTTTGTTTTCTGATCAAGGATCTAGTGAATGTTCATGCATTGCCTTTGGTTATGTCTTTTAGAGATATAGAACACTCTTGTCATTTTTAGTTGTGTGGCTTTTTATGACATTGACACTTTTTTAACAATCCAGGCCCATTGTCTTATAGAATGTCCCACAGTCTGGATTTGTCTGATTGCTTCATTATTGTTAAAATTAGTATAGGTGACGTGGTATGCTTCCTAATAAGTATTTTAAAACTCCACACATATAAACTGATCCTTGAAAACAAGCAAGGTGGGTGCCTGGGTGGCTCAGTTGGTTAAGCGACTGCCTTCGGCTCAGGTCATGATCCTGGAGTCCCGGGATCGAGTTCCGCATTGGGCTCCCTGCTCGGCGGGGAGTCTGCTTCTCCCTCTGACCCTCCTCCCTCTCATGCTCTCTGTCTCTCATTCTGTCTCAAATAAATAAATAAAATCTTTAAAAAAAAAAAAAAAAGAAAACAAGCAAGGTAATTCTATATTGGGGCGGGGGAAAAGAGAGAGAGGCTTAAAATCTTACTTTGAAGGTCATATTGGGCCCCAGACCTTCAAGGACAAGTCATTAAGTTGCTTAATGAATTTTTTTTTTTTTTTTTTTTTTTCAGTTCAACCTGTGTTAAACTCTCTGCTGGGTGCAGGAAAGAAAAAATGAGTAAATAATGGTCCCTGCCCTCCCCAGGTTTAAATGTAGGGCGTGCAAAAAACACAAGGAACTATAACTCAAGGCAGACGCTGATAAGGCCTGGGGAAAACATCTCAAGAGAACAGAGGAAGTATAGATTTATTTAATCTAGGGGGTGTCACTAAGAGCTGAAATTGGAAGAGACTGAAACAACGTAAGTGTTCACAGAAACAGCTGTGGCGGTGTGGGCCTCGTGGAGAGAAAAGGTGGCAAACAGGTCGGATTTGTACTTCCTGGAGAGCTGCTCTTAGGGTAGAGTGGGTAGATTCTGAATCCTGGGCTACATCTGATTCCAGGCATATTTATACTCTCTGTTGATGATTTCTATTTAGGTAGTGGTCATGCACAAATGTAATTAAATCTAACTTGAAAGAGAGCTGTGTTGGAACGTGTTGGTTAGGGCAGTAACAAAGTTAGACCAGTATTAAAGCCTGAAGATGGTATAGAATCCAAAATTGGCTACTGATTGGATGTGCAGAGCAAGGAAGAGGTCAAATGATATTTTTAAATATATGCCTTTAGGTACAATATGAATTAAGATGCCGAAAACGTGTAGCCCAGGGCTAAATCTAGACTCTAAGTTCCGAGCCATGTTTTCTGGAGGCCGTTGGGAGTAAGTCATCACACTGTATTCACTGCCCAATGGTGATAGAGGATCCTATCCAACAGTTCACCCAAATACCTCACATTCTCAGCAGCAGAGTAATGAGTGAGCAGAAACATAAGAGGGGAAGAAATTAGATTCCAGGTAATGGGCTGAGAAGCAAAGGTTAAAATAGGGTCCCAAGCTCCAATACTTCCCCGGGCCAGGCAGGTAAGTGAGTACAATGGGTCAACATAAGCAAAAACCAAGCATGTAAGTATATCAATAACTGAGAAGTGACCCTTTAGTCTTGGTGTCAGGAAGACAGGGGTGGTGGGGCATAGAGCAAACAGAGGCTACAGGCCCTGCTAAAGGGTGGAAGCCATCCAACAAGTAGAATCACTCAACTTCCTCGAAGAATGTGGATTCAGTGTTGTCAAAATGGCCAATTTTAAAAGCGAAGCTAGAAATGCAAATTTTAATTTTAAATCTCATTTTTAAATGATGCAACTAATTCGTTCAGAAACAAATCAAAGGTAAAAATAAACCAAAACATTGTCAAGGACAAATAGCACATAGGTGAAAACATGATTCAGCCTGCAGGACTGAGATTTGCAACTTCCGGGTGAGAGTCTAACCTATGACCACCAACATGGTTTGAGGAAGGTCAAGAGAATCTAGAAGAAAGTTGTCGGAAGGGCTGGAAAATATATCTGTATTAATTAATGCGTCCAGAACACACAGCTGAAGGCACAATGAGCTGGTTGCAACGGGGGTTTAAGGTTTCTCCCTCTCAGAGAATAAAAAATACCACCCATATTTGCTTGATTATGGTCTTTATGTCTCTAACATCTCCCAATCCTATTGGGCATCCCCATTTTGCACAGATTTGATGGAGGTTCATTTCTTGAGCAGTAATCTAATATAGCTGTGGTTTAGACATTTGGGTACTGATGTTTCCTAGATAACTCCAAAAATAAATAGGTAAAATCTGATGATGTCTCTCAAATTGGGAATGTAATGATGGGGACTTTGTCTCTCTCAAGTCTGTCCCTGAGATCTATAGCTCCAGAATTCTCATACCCATACCACAGTCCCGCCTCTTGAAGTTAGATTATATGTGGATTTGTACTTCCTGGAGAGTGGCTCTTAGGGTTTCTATTCTATATTTCAGCAGCTTTGCTCATTTGTGGTATTGTAAATTTTTTTATTTTAGTTTTTAAAAGATGCTGGCTTGGATGAGTGGTAGTAGTGGACATGGAGGGAAGTGGAAGGATTCAAGGTGTTTTGCAGAGTTGATGTGACTTTCTGATGGATTGGATTGGAGGTGGTGGTGACAGAAACCAAGAGCAAGCCCTAGACCGTTGCATAAGCAACTGGGCTAAGTGTCAATGTTGGGTTTGAGATGCCCATTAGAAATCCAAGCAGAGGAGCCAATGGGTAAATGGACACAAGAGCCCAAAGCTAGGCAAGGGATGTCAGGGTTGGAGATGTAGAGTTATATGCAAATGATATGTGGTTTTCAAAGCCAGGGGCTCAGATGAGATGATCTAAAGAATATTTAGATAACGAGAAGGAGGCCCAGGGCAAAACTCTAGGGATTCCAGTATTTAAAAGCTGAGCTAAGAAAGAGCCAGATAGAGTTGTGACCAAAGCTGTCACAGAAAACCTCAAATTCCCCACCATGGCTTACTAAGACCTACATTGTCTGACTCATGCCTCCTTCTCCAGTTTTCTCTTACCAATCTCCCTAACACCAACCTATACACTCGGTCTTTTTACTGTTTTTCAAATATGTCAAGTTTGTTTCTTCCTTAGGGGCTGTCTGCCAGCTTTGAGTTCTCTCGCTGCTTGCCTCCCTTCACAAGCCTGGGTCTGGTCAGAGCCCAGCTTACAAATGTCACCTCCTAATGTGGCCTTTCCTGACCACCCAATCTGGAGTATTCATCCATGCCCCTTCTAGCCCATTACCCCATTTTAAGTATCTCTAGAGCACTTACCTTTTAATGTTAGTCCTTTTGTCCATTTCTCACAGAACTGAGAGCTCCACGAGAAGTGACCTCACCTGTCTTGCTCACTGCTGTATCTCCAGCACCTACAGCAGACCCAATATGTGTGAATGATGAGGAATTCTGTCTAGAAGTTCTGTACAAAAATTAACAGACACTGCTGGGCCCTTATTTGTGTCTATATCAAAGAAACTTAGTTGCCTGATGAGATGGTAACTGTACTGCATTCCATGAAAAAAAATGGAACTATTTTTCTAGCACAAAAGTTAGACACAAATATAAATTCTTCTTTGACCTCTTTGTCTTACACATTGTGTCAAAATTACTGAGGGAAAAACACAACAAAGAAAACCTTTAAAAACAAGTCTCTGAATAAAAGCAGACCCATGTAGGACTCTGGCTGCACAAAACACAAACACACAGAATTCACATGGTCTTGGTGCTAAGTGGGTAGGTGGGCTGCCACTGAAGGGCTGAGCCCCAATGTTCAGAAACCAAACCTTTGTTCTTCCAGTGTAAATTCCGAGTCAAAGGTTGTGGATTGTTCTAGAGCTGAGACAGACGACAGAGAACACTTGATTTGGCCTTCATTGAGGAGGCCGGAGAGGAGTGGTGACCTGCCTAACTGATCAGTTTTGGGAACCACCCCAGGAGAATGCAGTTCTCCTGAGCAACTCCTAATCCAACTTCTCTCCATTAGGCCAGGCTCTCTCCTCAGCTCTGAACTTATTTATAGAAATTCATCAAAAAGTCTTTTCTTTTTTAGAATTGGTAGTCTAGGCAATTAAATTCTGTCTAGAAATACTCTCCTGAGCCGAGATTAATCAGCACACTAATTATTCCATCTCCTTTGCCTTGCCATTTCTGCTAGCTCCTCTGTAGTCAGTCTTCTTTGCAGGCTTTTTCTCTCACTGTCATGGTAACGCAGGGCCCAGTGCCATACTTCTCCATCTCTAAAGTATCCCTAAACTCCTATCTGATCCCACAGCTAAACTACTCCCAAATGTATCACCTAGCCTGACCTTATCATTGAATTTGAACTTGTATATCAATACCTACTTAGTATCTCCATTTTGACACTTAATGGGCATCTCAAACTTAACATGTCAAACACTGAGTTCTTGTCTTATTCCATGCATACATAATTTGAACCTATCCCAGATTTCCCCATCTCAATAAATGCAGTAATAGCTCAAGCCAAAAGCTTAGGATTCAGACCCAACTTCTCTCCTTTCCTCTCTCCCAAATCCAAGTCATCAGCAGGTCTTGTTTTACTTTTTGTTTTTGAATGCAGGAGCACTGGACTAATCATAATCCTTGGTTCATAACACACCACCAATGGTTTGTGCATAATTGTCCTCATTCATTTATGTACTTTTCATAACAAGTGAACCCATCATCTAATCCAGGTACTAGAACATCAACAATGACTTACTCTTTGATTTGTTCCTCCCACTTCTCTCCCTTTTCCTCCTCCATACCAGAGGTAACCTATCCTGAACTTTGGGTTTATCACTATTTGGATTTTTAAAAAAATAGTTTTGTTCTATATACATATACACACATATATGCTTAAACAATTGTTCAGTTTTAGTTTTTGAACTTTACGAGAAAAGTTCTGTCATAGTCTTCTGAGCATTTTGCTTTTCCTATCTATGTTATATTAAGGTGCTGTGCTCCATGTAGCTGATGTTCACTCATTTTGCCCACCACGTGATAGTCCCTAATGTGAGCACACAACACTTTACCCTCCTGTTGGACATTTGGATTTTTTCCAAAACATTCTTATAGATGCATTCTGGGGCACTTTGTGCAAGTATTTCTCTGAGTATATACCTACAAGCTGAGCTGGTAGGCTGTGGGGAATGTTCAACTTTTCAAATGAATGTTTTTTCACATAGATATACCAATTGACACTTCCACCAGCAATTTATGAGTAATCTTATTAAAATTCTCTGCAACATTTGACTTCATTGGGCTTAATTTTTGCCAGTTGAATTTAACCCTGTCACTGTGGTCTTTGCTTTCCCTGTTAATAATTGAAGACCATTTAATAGTTTATTAGTCCACATGCACTTCCAACTCTGTAGAGACCTGTTCCAGCCATTTCCCATTGTTCTTTTTATTTGTAGAATTTCTGTATATATGGATACTAATCTATCTTTGGTTGAGTTTTGCAAATATCTTCTCATAGCTTGTAGTTTGGCTTTAACACTCCTTTTGACGGGCAGAAGTTCTAAATGAACAATTTATAACATAGCACAACTTACTTCTCTCATGGTCACCTTTTATGGTTTCTTTCAATTTCAGTTTAAGAAGTTCTTAGAAGCAGATTAGGAAGGTATCCACCTGTATTTTCAAAATATATTTCACCTATAATTTCAACTATATTTTCTACATCAGAAGTTCTACAGTTTCAGGACATTTAAACAGAGTTGTTTTTTGTGTATAGTGTAAGGAAAAGATCGTTTCATATATTCCTTTGTCAGCTCCATTTAATGATTAGTCCTGTCATTGACCTACCATGTCTTCTCTGACACCATGAAATTTATAAATATGTGTGGGTCTACTTTGGAGCTCTCTATTCTATCCATTGGCCATTTTCTCTATTTCTGCATTGTGTCACACTTTCTTAAATACTTCAGCTTCATAAAAAGCCCTTCTGGTAGGATGAACCCTTCCTCCTTTCTTGTTCTTCAGAAGTGCCTTGGTCATTCTTCATCCCTAACTTTGCCACATAAATTTTGATCAGTTTGTCAATTCTAGCAGAAATTTTGGGATTCAGTTTGGAGATGCACTAAATCTACACTTTCATTTTTTAAAAAACTATTGTCCTTCTACTCATGAACATAGATCACTCTAGTCCTCTTCAATGTTTTTTTAGTAAAGTTTTATAAATTTCTCTCCCCAGATCTGGCACATCTTTGGTTAGATTACTACGTACTTCAGAATTCTTTTTGCAATTGTTTGGTGTCTTTTTAAAAATCTTATTTTCTAACGGTGGCTGTATACAAAAAGTACAATTCACAAATATATATTGATCCTATATTTAGCCACCTTACTAAACTCTCCAATTATGTCTAATAATTTGATGGAATACTTTATTTTCTATGTAGACAATCATACCATGAGTTTTTTTCCTTCCCAGTCACTGTATCTTTATTTTCCTTATCTTGCTGCACTAACATTTACAGTACAATTTTGAACACGAGTACAGTAATCATCTTTGTTCCATTGTTGATTTTAAAGAAAATGCTTCTAACATTTCCCACCTTAGGATGGTGTTTACTGTAAGATTTTTAAAGATACCCTTCATCAAGCTGAAAAGATTACTAAATTTTTTCTGCATCTATTGATCAGATGGTTTTTCACTTTTATTCTGTAAATGTGAATTAGATTTATACATTTTCTAATATACCATTTAAAAAAATTTTTAAATAATCTCTACACCCACTGTGGGGCTCAAACTCATGACCCTGAGGTCAAGCAAGAATCGCATGCTCTACTGAATGGGCCAGCAAGATGCCCCTCTATTATACCATTTTTGCATTCCTGGGATAAATGCCACTTGGTTATGGTGTTACATTGTTTGCTTTTGCATATCTACTCATGACAAAATGGACCTATAATCTTCCTTTCTTGTATTAACTGTCCCAATCTGGTTTTGCTATCAAGGTTATATTGGTTTTTGATGTATGAAACATAGTAGTTCTATTCTCCAGAAGAATACATATAAGATTAGAATAACACATTCTTTAAAGTTTGTTAAAGTACTCTACACCTAGAGTTTTATTTGTGAGAAGATTTTTAACTACGGCTCTCCTTGAATAGTAATAGTACTGCTCAGGCTTCTGATTTCTTTTTAATCAAAATATAACATTTTCTAGGAATTTTGCCCCTTTCCTTAAATTTTCAAACATATTGGGATGTTGTTCTTAATATTCATGTTTAATATCTGTAGTATCTACACTGACATACCCCTTTTCACTCCTGGTATGGGTTATTTGTATATTTTTTCTCCATGATAAAATTGACAGAAATTTTTGTCTACTTTGTTCATCTTTTCAGTCAACATAAAACTTTGTTGAGCCTCTATTGCATCCTTGTTTTCTACTTCTGTAATCTCTTCCTTTTATTTTGTCCTTCTGTAACTTAATTGAACACTTAGCTCATTTAAAAAATATATGACTTAGGGCGCCTGGGTGGCTCAGTTGGTTAAGCGACTGCCTTCGGCTCAGGTCATGATCCTGGAGTCCCTGGATCGAGTCCCGCATCAGGCTCCCTGCTCGGCAGGGAGTCTGCTTCTCCCTCTGACCCTCCCCCCTCTCATACTCTCTCTCTCTCTCTCATTCTCTCTCTCAAATAAATAAATAAAATCTTTAAAAATATATATATATGACTTAAAGCTGTGTAAAACACCCAGTGCTCATCACATCACATGACCTCCTTAATGCCTATCACCTAATTATGCACCTGATAAATTATTGAACACTACATCTGAAACTAATGATGTACTATATGTTGGTTAATTGAATTTAAATAAGACTTAAAGCTACAAAATTTCCCTTGAAGCACTTGCGCTTTTTTTTTAATTGAAGTAGAGGTGACATATGAATGTACAACACAGTAATTCGACAATTCCATATATTAAGTATAGTCACTGTCACCAAAGTTATAATATTGACTATATTCTCTATGCTGCACTTTTCATCCCTGTGACTAGTAAGTGAAGTTTGTATTTCATAATCCCCCTCACCTATTTTGTCTGATGCCCACTCCCCTCCTAGCAACCACCAGTTTATTCTGTGTATTTGACTCTGTTTCTGTTCATTTGTTTTTTAGATTCCACATTTAAGTGAAATCATATGGTATTTGTCTTTCTCAGATTTATTTCACTTAGCATAATACCTGCTAGCTCCAACCATGTTGCTGCAAGTGGCAAGATTTCATTCTTTTTGATGGCTGAGTAATATTCCTGTGTGTGTGCACGTGCCCGCACATGCCACATCTTATCCATTCATCTATTGATGGACACTTGGGCTGCTTCTGTAATTTGGTATTGTAAAATAATGCGGCAATAAACACAGAGGTGTCGGAGTGCATGTATCTTTTTGAAGTAGCGTTTTCATTTATTTTGGGTAAATACCTGGTAGAGAAATTACTTGTTTTTCATAGTGGCTGCACCACTTTACATCCCCACCAAGAGTACATGAGGGTTCCCTTTCTCTACATCCTCATCAATACTTATTATAATTTTTGTCTTTTTGATACTAGCCATTCTGACTGGTGTAAAGTACCATTTCATTGTGGTTTTGCTTTCTATTTGCCTGATGATTAGTGATTTGAGCATCTTTTCATGTGTCTGTTGACCATCTCTATGTCTTCTTTGAAAAAAATGTCTATTCAGGACCTCTGCCCATTTTTAATGAGATTAGTTTTTTAATATTGAGTAGTAGGAGTTCTTATATATTTCACATTTGGTATTATTAGTCAGCCCTAGTATTTTTAAATTTCTTCAATTATTACTGTTATTAATTTTCTTACTAAGTCTTCCTGGTGAACTCAATTTTTAGCATTAGATAGCACCCATCTCTATCCCTAATAATGCTTTTGTTTTAATGTCTGTTTTGTCAGATAATAGTGTATGTAACTACACTAGCTTTCTTTTGGTATTTTCCTATCTTTTTTCCAGGCTTTTCTTTCAAACTTTCCATGTCCTTATGCTTTGTGTATAAATATATCATCTCCATATCACACTATTCATTTCTCTACATGGGTCTTTTTTTCTTTGGTCCTTCACATTTAATTGGTATCTCTCTCTCCCATCTAACAAGACTGGAACTTTAATTACCCTCACAATCTCTGGTGTCCTCCCACTGCCACTGTGTTGATATTGTAGAGAATTTTAATTCTAGATTGTTATATACTTTATTTTTTTTTAGCCTTACCTTTCATTTATTCTTTTAAAGTCATCAACAAACTCCATAAGTATCTCTTTTCTTTTCCCCCAAATCTCTTGTAGCATCTCTTGGATTTGCTTCTCTTCATACTTAGGTACTTTCTCCAAAAGTGTTTTTAATTTGCATCTTTGTGTGGAAAATTTTCTGAAGTTTTCAAAGTCTGAAAACATGTTTATTATGCCCTCACATTTGAATAATTATTTATCAGGACATAAAATTCTAGTTTCAAAGTTCTTTTCATGTTCAATTTCAAATTCCTGAGCTGGGCCTGGTAGTGATGGTTTCTACCACACCATACCATTCTCAAATATCCTTTTGTCTGTAGACTCCCACCCATCCTGGTGACTGAATCTTCTACAGGAAAGATTGAACAAATCTTTGAGGATAGAAATGAAAACAATGCCATCTTCAGAAAACTAGGTCTCTCATACAATGCTGCTGTAAAAATAAATTTGTTTAACTTCTGTAGAGGACAATTTGGCAAAGCAGATCAAATATTTTAAGATACACATACCCTGACCTAACAATTTTATTTCTAGGCAAGTCTACATGAAGTAAACAACCCAACAATGTGCAAAGAAGTACGCATAAGGGTATTCATCCCAACATTATAGGAAAAAAAATTAAGCTAATTTCCAAACAAATTATATTAACATCCTATAATCAAAACCATGTAGTGATTAAAGACATGTAGAAAAAATATTTAAGTTTAAGAAGAAAGTCTACTTTTTGTTTCAGAAATACGCATATGTAGGTAGAAAATATCTGAAAGCTGGAAGGCTCTTCAGAAATACTAACAGTAGCATTCTCTAGATGGAGAGATTAAGTGCCTTCTGATTTCTTCTTTTTGCCTTCTTTAAATAAAATCCTTCTTTGAAGCCCAATCTACAAAACAGACAAAAACAGAGCCATTCTTGCAGGGGGACAGAGCTGATCCTGTCCGCTTAGCCTTCTTCCTTGCCTCTCAAAGGCTGCTGTGCAGTTTGAAAACTACAATTCAATACATTCAGCTTACCCTACATGCCATGTCAGAGCTAGAAGAGAAAGCAAAAACATATTCAATCTAACATTGATGTATTTTATTTAGCTTTTTTTTTTTGCAACTCTAAATTACAATCACTAGTACACCTATAATTCTTTTTAGTGTGTTCAACTAAAGAGTAAGCAGACACAGCAGAGGTCAATTTAAAAGAAATCACAGTACTTCTTAGTGTAATCTGCAAAAGAGGGAAAAAGTCTTGGGCCCACTCCTCGGAAATAAATATCAAGTAACCATAAAAATATTCAGCCATTTTCCAGGTATTCAGGGAGGTTCAAGCATGGTCCCAGGTAGAGCATCAGAGTTCCTCTTTGAAATATCCCAGCTTTGCCAATGACATCTCTTTTCTCAACTGCATAACTTCCCAAAACATCTGATCAACTATACAAATAGAAAAGGAGACAAGTAAATCATAAAATATCATTTTAATTATTTTTTAGCTGTTTCACTGAAAATTTAACATTAGCTGAAATGCCAACTGGGCATTTCCTAACGTCGTACCTAATGCCTCACCATTTTACTGCTATTTCACAGAAATTTTTTCAGGTATTTGTGAGCATCCCAGTTTTATGAATAAATGAACAATATTCACCTATTTGTTAGATGCATCCATGACCACTTTAGCCCAGCAGCATCTGCTTCAGTGCCCTGAGTAAATGGCAATCGTGTTGCCATTTTAAGTAATTACACTCAATCCTCAATTATTCTAATTTAGGGATCTTCTTGCTTTAGTTTGCTACATCTTGGCCATTCCACTGTTTATTAACACCAACACAGAGTAAAACAGGAAAAAATGGAAAACAAAAGACAGTCCAGGGAACTCAGTAACATTCTTTTTGAGAAATAACCGAGAAAATGGTTTTGTATATGGCTCAAATTAGAAATAAAAATAAATGTAGAGGCTGATCTGTAAATTCAATTATCTCTACTTTGGCAAGCCCTCCCTGTAAGTGGAAAAAAGTTGGCTTTATATTTCAGATAAAAAGTCTTCCTCTGACATATCATCAGATTAGAGATTGATTTAGATCAGCAGTTTTCAACCAGTGGAGATTTTGTTTCCTCAAGGGTACATCTGACAAAATGCCTGGATACATTTTTCATTACTGGCATCTACTGAGTAAAGCTTAGCAATGGTGTTAAACATTCAACAATGTACAAGATAGCACCCCCCCCAACCGTCCCCTACAAAGTTTATCCAGCTCAAAATGTTAATAGTACACCAAGCTTGAGAAACACTGCTTTAGATTTAGCTGCCCTAAATCCTTTTTGGCACAAGGCATGGATAATACACATATTTTAAAATTAGTAATATTTATCTGCTACAAACCCACACATTATATGAAATGTACCAAGTACCATGAAGTGGAAGAGTGACAGAAACCAGAGAAGAGGCCACTTTTATCACCATCACCCCCACTACTACTCGTGACAGTTTCTCCCTATTTTCATAAAGGAAATTATCTTTCATCTTCCCTACAAAAACTTATTTTAACAAGGAGAAAAAACACACTTGACAATTTAACTTAATGTAAATCATCTGTTCTGTAGCTTAAATCCTATTTATTATCCACCAACAGGTATTCAAAAATATTTCAATTTTATTAAAGTCATAAAAAGTATTGTACACTTTAAAGACTACTTTATGCTACTCAGGCTTTTCAAATTCAACATTAATGAGAGGTTTCACCCTCATTCTTTTAGGCATTAAAATCGTAATTACATGGGATTCTAAATAAATATGACTCTTCTCAACATACCAGACCTGTGAAATGCTAAATTAAGTTTTTATCAGCATGACTAACCTTTCCACAGAACTAAGATTCACTGGTTTGTTTACATGGCGGAAGATAGCAGGCTCCTTCTAGTTTTTAAATATAAAAATACTTTCAGTCCCTAAAAAAATATGAATAGGAAATTTCCTACAACTTCAAATACAAAATGGGTATGGACTTATCCCTAGCTTAGTATCTGCTATTTGTTTTAAAACAATCACATGTACTCAAGAAACACTGCTTTGGAGTTGTTGGGCCGTATTCATTCTCATGCCTGGCATTTAAGACATTTGGCTACAGAATCATCAGTAAACATGAAAGACTGTATTAAAAATATTCAAACACTTGCATGAGGTTGGCTCTCTTGGATATATCATCTATATGTTTCAGCTGATTCAGAATATAGTAATCTTTATTCCATTCCAAACTATCCTCATGACTGCTTTATTAATTCACATGTGAAAGTACAAAATACAGAAAATTACTGTTAGAGCAATAAAAT